TGATAATTGTAAATAACATTTATCGCTCATGTTTTGTACTAGTGTAATAAATAGTATTACATTGAAGTGATCTAAATACTAGACGTTTCCAAGAAGAGAATACTACTCGGACCGATAAAGAAACAGGTACACACATTTGTTAATTAATATATATTTATGTAGGTACCATTATATCATGAACACAGAGGAGACATTGAAACAATCTTGAATTTCCATCTTGAAAGTCATTACTTTATATCTAATATATATTTTATCCAAACCTAATTTGCTCTTGTTTGTCTGGGAAAAATTCCACGAGAGAGTCAATAAATTTCGCTGGGCTCACAATTCCAAGGGTCAAACATTAAACTAATTTTCAGGTAATTATCCAAAGTGACATTATCAGAAAATTGTCTTCAAACCAAATTATTACGTGAAAGCCCTTGAATCATGTAAAGAAATACATTAATAGCCATTAATGCTAGACAGAGAATGACCTGCGATGGTGATTTGATAATTAACTTTTTAAGGCATATTTTTCAAAGCTATTGTAATTATTTACCCGCCTAATAAATCGGGCAGCAATTTAAAAGACTGGCAGCAGAACCATTCATCATATGATTTGACCACTAGAATTAAATAAAATGTCAACATTTTAAAATTCATAATAGCAATTTGAGGACTATAAAAATAAGTTTGCAAAATCAATCAAAACGCAGAATACAAAAATAAAATCACTAGATGAAAATGAAATCCTGACATATATGCTCGTCGAGTCAAGGACGCTGCAACTCATAATTTACATACAAAACCTAATTCTAAAACTGAAGACAATATAAATATGTGCAGCCTACAAGAACCAAACAACACAAAGAAACACCAAGAGCTTTAAAACGAAGCACACAAGCTAAAAGGCACACGCCAGAGGAATCTAAATTAACAAAAAACTGAACCTAGATCAGTTAAACGTTACAACAAAAGAAACAGTTAAATGGAGCTGTAGTTATAATGATGTCATAGACAAAAGGCAAGGCAGACAGACAAAAACGTGACCATACGTACGTAGTTAATTTGTACCTGCAGGATTTATTAATATTACCGTCTAGCTCAGTATGAGACAGTGGCCTTGAGGTCCGTTGCCAATTTTGACTCTCTACAATTATATAAATCCAATTACCTAATTCTTTTACCGAAGCTACTGCTTTATCTGATTATTTATCGTTGACAACATTACGTACCGATTTCACAATTCAATATTTACCTACGGCACCTTTATTTAGAAATTGGGACGGAATATTTTCATAAACACCAACTGGAAATTTGCATTAAGTCAAAGGGAATGTTATGGTTTCCAAAAGCCCAAATTGTACAAGCAAACAAAAGGATATAGTTATACGCAGGCTTTGTGAAACACAAGCCAGACTCAAGACTCGTTAGTGGGGAATCTTTCGGCATTATCGATAAACATCCCGTCGGGCCCTAGGCTGTCTATGTATAGGTTGTCTTAGGGCAGGCACGCGGCGACGGCGCGCCGGGCCTGACTGAATTTGTTAGCTTTTTTGGGGCTAGGGTTGATACCGCGCTCCTAACATTATGACATATTATTTAACATTAAATCAGTCTGAAATATTATTATTTTCACTTTAAAGCGTTCCGAATATCGCTTCTTATCAAATTTTGATGGTCAATTCCAATGATAAAGTGGTTTAGATAAAGAATTATATACTAAGACTGGCCACTGCATTATATTTCATTTCCATTGTGATTGTAGCCGTAAAATATTGGTCAGCTAGTTTTAATTCTGATTAAATTCAGATTCAACAGCACCACAGTTTTTACTCAAATTTTTAATCGAACAAAAACATGCACCCTTTTAGGTTTTTATCCGATTCCTGATCAGACAGACTTCCTGTGCTCTGATCTTACATTAATCATTTGCCTAAGACAGCCCTAATGTTTAATTGTGTGGGAGGAGGCAATTCGTGGAACAGCTTCTAATTGTGTGTGTGTGCGTGTATTTCAAATACAAATAAAGTCGCACTTGTGTGCGCGCCGCCGGTTCATTGTCAAGGCCAACAGCCAAATCTCCCGCTCGAGCCCCCCCTCACTCCCGCCTCACTCCACCCATAGTCAATTATTTGAATTCGCCGAAAACATTGGCGTGCTACAAGCATATTGCTCGGGCTGAGAAGCCTTCTACTTCGTTACTTCTAAGTGGAGCAGCAATAGTTACCGAACTGCATAAACTATGAAAATTTTGGTTGAAGTCATGACTTCTTGATTTTGGTACAGGGTCTGTGGTTGCCGCCGACGCGATAATCGAGTATTTTTAACGTTGCATATCGCATTCCGCCAGTTTTTTATCTACGGTGTGGCCGCTGCGTTTGTGTGAAATCTTAATGCAGTAAAAACAACATTGGCTTGCATCTATCGGTCTAGACCAGACGCTAAGACTTCACTAAAAGGTGACGATAGACATCACGTTTTTTATCAAGGCCCGCCGCATTAGTCCTCACTGCAATTTGATCACAGATCTATGTAAATTGTGTGACTAACAACTGTCTGATATGATATTACATAATTGTTGTTAAGGAAGATAAAGGTAATATTCAATTAAATCAAATAATCAATGAGGTTATATAGATAGTTTTGGTTTAGAATGCTTGTCATCCTTATGAATTAGTATCAAAATTGATCGCGGAAGCATTAACATAAACTAATTATTTTATTATCTTTGAAACCTGCCCTGCCCGTGACCAGAGTAGTCTTGTAACCTAAGGTCGATTGATATCAATGTATCATCTGCAATTAATTAAAGATGCGAATGCAAACTGTTTTGTATTATTAATACAAAACTGAGGCATTAACTCTAGTTTACTGCAATAAGTAGATACTGATACATTTGATGAAATCCTTTATCTATGTAAATAATGTATAAATAACTTAATTGGAATTAGTTAAACAAAACAATATAGACTTAACACTTTTGCATGTCTATAAATATTCATAATAATTGAACTTGTATGTAGAGAGGCCAGTTCATGTGATAAAAAATATTACCGACTCTTATCGTAATTATTGCATCTTGCTTATTATGAAGTTATAACTATCAAACATATACAAAAAACTAAAGAAAATGTAGAAGTAAAAGATGAAATCCAAAATTGGTCCCTTTGGGCGAATCTTTTCTTATTCCCATACAACCTCATTTGAAGATTAATTTCTGAACTCAATGTTTGAACATGATTTGCATAGGTGTAGGTACTAAAATTTTATTGACTGTAAAAGGGTCTATCACATCGGATTTAAAGAAACCGATACTGAAATATTATTGGCCTTGACGGCAAATAATTTAACAATTGTAAACATAATTAAAATATACAAGAGGAAGGTAAAGCAGCTAAAAATATGTGTCAGTGCATGGAAAGATTGAGTCGATAAGTTTAGTCAAGGCCGCGTTATATCACCAGCGTTTGCATCACGTTGCAACAAAAAATGATTAGATAGAGTAATCGCTGCAAAAGTATACAAACCACTTTCGTTTGCCTAAAAAATATTCGTAAAATGTTGGCGTAGATAAGTAGGAACTATTTCCATTTTGGTCCTTTGTGGTCCTTCGATATAAATTAGGACCACAAGCAATAAAATACGAGAGAAATGAATCCCTAACTGACATGGATTGACAAAATGTATCCTGGTATAGGTACTCGAAATATTAATGAGGCACACGAAAACTTGAGCCGGCAAAAGGAACAGATAAACAAAGAATCTTATTGATGTAACTCAGAGACTATTAATAATACAGAACGCACCAAAGAATGGCCTCTTTGATGCGTATGGATAATGGCTTACATGGTCCCGCGATAAAAACGATCTGCGGTATCAAATCGACCAGGATTATTCAACAAGCGAAAAAAATTGACTACATCAAACATTTTTATGACTTGAATGGACCAAAAAATATTACGAGTGACTACCCCTTCTACATTAAATGGTATTGCTATGTTGTGTGACCATACATTCCCTTTCACTATCCATCAATTTCAATTAAAATGAACTCTGCACACCTCAAACTTACAAAAGATATAAAAAATCCGTGATTTTATTTCAGTAATTAGCGTCAATATGAGATAAGAGAACGCGAGATGAAAACATCGAAGCCATTTCTGCATCTCTAGATAAATATAGAATGTACGACACCGGAAAAGCTTGGAATTGATACAAAGCGTGTGTTGAGATTTTTCTTGTGGCGTTTAGAAAATAGATGTTAGGCACAAAGTAAAATTGGTAGAGGCGGGCAATGGTTGGCGGCGCGATCGATCACGGGTTGGGGCAGGTCGGACACAACGCGCTTCACGTGTTGAGCTGTTTTGGACCGGGCCTACCACACTAGGATTTTGGCAACTCTAGGAACATTTGAAACGCAAAGATTGGCGGGCTTAGTGAATGCTAAGTACTGAAGTCTATGTGGTAATGAAAAATTTTACTATTTATAAAAATTTTGTTAGTACGAAATCAATTTTAAATTTTTAAACATTTTAAGGTGCTTAATCAAAAATATGTGTAAATTTGAATTCTTTCGTATTTAATTCCTTGACAGCAAAGAAATCAATTAAAAACTATGCATTATTTATAGTTTTACAGTACACATAAATTTTAATAAATACTTCGGCGATTAGGTTGTTTTTTAAATATTTTGGACATCGAGTTACGAAATCACAAATCACTTAATAGAAAAAAGGCTTTCCCCGAAACCCTGGGAATTCCATGATTTTCTTCGAACGTAAATTTGATATTCACAGTCACTAAATATTTAACAACAAGAGGAAATATAATACCGCCGCGATAAATATTTGGCGGTCCGGCGTGTAGCTGTTGATAAAATGTTAGCCTAGGTCAAGGCGAAATTCTGATCATAAAAACCCGGCACAATATCCACAATAAAACGCCGGTTATTATCATAAAGGATAGAAAACAAAACATGAAATGTACGCACCACATCCTCCATCTCCATCCAGTCCATGTCGGCTTGTTATTGTATGTCTAGGTTAGCTTAGAAGTCTGGATCTAGTGCTGCGCGAAAGTACTGCGCGTGGCGACGTTCGGTACACGAGTGCAGCGTCGTGTAGTGTGTGTTGCACCGAAAATTCGTTCCCGCAGCTCAGACCCGCGCCCCGCACCGCACCCCCGGGCTCGCAAAATTTTCGAACTTCGAACGAATCGCGCAACGCCATCTAGGGGCGATCGGCGCCCCATTGCCTCCGTGTGTGGCCTTGAACTTGACTGTACACGTCGCGAGCGACCCACTTTTGCGGCGCGTCCCCGCGCCCCGCCGGCAGTCGCGCGCATTGTCACGGCCGAGCCACCTGAATGGATCTTAGTCGACATAAGGCGTATATTCGCGTGTTCGTTTCGAACACTCTCGTTTTCACCGTACTGTATTACGTCACGCTGCACGTTACATCGCTGGATTATCTTGCACACGTTCAGCGCGGCCGATAGCAGGGCAGAAACTTCTCACGAATGTTATAACGATGTGAGTACTAGTTCGCTGATTTGTTGTTTCCTTGTTACGCGATCTATTGACATTGTTTTGATGTTTTTTTCTAAACCAATGTCTTGGGTAGTGATACTATTATCAGTTAATTGAATAACGAGACACAACAAGTTGAGACCATCCAATATATTATCACCGCCATTTTATTTTTGGTCCGAGATATTTTTGGCGAATTCTTTTGTATAATATAAATTATGGATGTTCTATGGGCGATACTTTTAGAACTTTGGCGGTCTTTGGTTCTTGATTAGTATCATGATTTATGGTGACAAGTTTACTGACGTAACGGGCTGAATGTTTCAGATGCTGAACTTCGGAACAGTGTTGGAGCATCGTTATCAAGTTGTAGGCGCGTGGCAAACGCACGGGGTCAAACACGGAAAACGATCTAAACAGCGCGTGAAGCTTTACACAAACATGTTCATAAGGCAAGTACTTTTTAAACAAAATTAAAAACAGTTTTGACCATTTCAGATACCTACCATTTTCGCTTACGAATTAGAATATGGTCAAATACACAAAATGGGAAGCCAAACAAGACCCAAATCTCACTACTAGACAATCGAAGGTAAAACTACTTAGAATCCTTAATTACTAAAGAATTAGGCCGCTCGTGTTTAACCACATACAATGTAGCCTGTTTATACAACAATCAAAGAAAATAGAATATCAAGTATTGAGATATAAACAATAAGCATTAAATGATTTCAGAAAAGGACCAACATTTGGGGCGGTTTCTAAGAAAGGACCAACATTTGGGGCAAATATGGGCCAAGCCAGGAAGAAATGAAGAGAAAGGTAAATCAGTTTCTTTACGTAATATACTTGACGGTGGGTTTGACAACGAACGTTGACTCAGATTAAGGTCAATCAATAAACGGGGCTGCACGCCGCTGCGATGCAACAAGATTGCACTCACACCGCATTTTAATCGCCTGATGATTCAATTGTTGCTACGTTGAGTAACAACTTCATAATATTTAACTCGTAACTAATTTTAGATTGTCAATTTGATAATTTTTTTATTATTGCGACTAAAATTATAAATGCGAAACTATGTTTATTTGTTACCACTTTACGATTTATCTACTCGACATCATAGATCATCATCTTGTTTAAGTATAGATAATATTTGGGAGCACAGATAATAAAAATTAGTAATAAATAAATTAGTGATGCTATATTTTCCCGTCCACTAGAAAAAAATATTTGCAACACCAAAGTTTTTGTTCATAAGCAAAAAAGCATTTTTGCTTTATCAAGTTGCTTTCTTTATTTCATAACCTCTATTAGTCTATGAGTAAGTAAGTCAATTTAAGTGTTCTGACCTAGTTTTAAAGTTTCGATCCGCAAGTTTAAAAATATATAACCTGTTTGCTGTAATACCATTATCTGTTAGACCAAAAAGTTAACTTACAACTTTTTGTACTTTAAGCATCTTTGCGTCATTGAGGGAAAATTGAGGTTTTATAATAGGTTTATTTAATAGAAACAACAATGAAACTTTTGACTCTTTGCTTAGTTATTCATATATACCATTTAAAAAAGTTTTAAATATCGGGTTTCAGAGGCAGCACTTCTAAAGCGGGAAATACGTCATCAGGGGATAATTCTACAAATTCTAGAAGCATTGGACGCTACTACCAGCTACCAACTCACGAAAGGAGAAAAGTCAAATAACAAAACGAAACTCTACTTCCAAATGAAAATGGTCATTGAAAGACAGAATAGAGTACATTGATGACAATCAAAGTCAAAGTCAAAGCATTTATTTCAATTAAACCATAATTTGGTACTTTTGAAAAGTCAACAAATACAAAACAAATAATAGTCTGTCTGAAGCTAGGCGAAGCTAGGTGCTCATTCCAAAATGTAGATTCGAATGGAGAAGAACGAGAAAGAAAACCCTCGTTACTCTTTTTAAAAAAATATGTCCCTGATCTTATCGCAGGTATCGCAAGGCATAGTACACATGTGACTTGAAGTCACAGAGACTTGACAGCAGCTCTTTCTCCTATACTTAGGACCGATTTTTCAATCCTCAGTAATTCTAAACTAAGAAATAACTTTTAATATTTGACAATTCGTCCGTACTAAAAACTGTAAATGTCAATTTCATTCTACAGTTAAAACATAACTGATGATTGAAAAATCGGCCCTTAACCTTTTACACAGTGACTTTAAACCCAACTGTCAAGAGAGGCAATCCCCTCTCCTGGCAAACCCTCTTATGTAGGTAGACAAGGCCCATAGTCCTTAATAGGCTATAGATTAAATGAAAAACAATAGATATAAAAACACTTCTGAACCACGACTAGCCGTGCAATTAGTTTCGTTGATAATGCCACGGCAAGACTATTATTCTTGTCATGAACTATTATGACATTTGAAAATCATTGTCCACTCTTGATAGTTTGGCCACCTCAGTTAGGCTATTCTGTAACTGTCAATTCGGACTTTCGAAGTGAGCTCAATCGCATTCTCACTCGTCATTGGTCGACATTTTTCTCACAGCCCATGGCATGGCTGACCGCGACCAAATTCACTTCAATCTTTAAAATTGAAAGTTATAGCCTAGCCGTTTAAGAGACTGTTTCTAGACCAGAGATCCTACTGTAACTGTAGATCCACTTGCCCTTCGAAAACCTATGGATATGAAGTCAGAGTAAACACCAAAAGATACTACAATAAAGCCCTTCACGAATAGAAATCTGATACAATTATACAGGCAAGTGAGTTCATCCTATTATTACACATTGAAACGTGAGGTAAAGCAAATATTTACTTAGGACTCGTAACAACAAAACAAGCAAACTTTGATGATCCTAGCAGCTAGTGCTTAAATAAGACCTCAAAACGGTTTCAACTTTCTAAGGGATTTTAGGGATTATTGTGACATACGAAGTAGTTAAAGCAAAAAAAATATTTCATTCACTTGCAATTTACACAAGCAACTGAGAGACTGACATCGGTCTATTCACATTTTCTTACTGTCTATTGTCTTCATTTCTTGTTATAAATGACAGAATACATTTTCAATTATAATTCCTTAAAGTTTTTAAACAGTACAATTATAATAATTATTATTTTAATTTCAGAATGCAAGTGAAAGAGGTCCTGGATGCTAAAAAATCTTTAGAGGTGTTTAGAATATCTACGGAATTGCATTGGATTGACGCCATGGTGACGGCAAAGTAGAAAATTTTCACCATTCTAACTCTTCCCGCGTCGTATAAGTCGACTAAAGGACTACACAGTAGATAAAGTAGTCTTTATTGATTTTTTTAAAACGGCGTTTTCTAACCCGACGGCTAAATGTGGTGATTATGACATAACTCTTACGTAAATAATAAGAAAGTCCACATTTCACGGCCAGTTGAGAGATCCTTAAATTCACTTTTAAATTAAAGAGTCCTCGTCCAAAAGTGGAATACCAGCCAGTCATTATCATTCATCGTATATTACGGGTGATGGTTTAAATATAAAAAAAAAACCTTGTGAAAATATAGCGTGGTAACATATCGACAAATGATAGATTTCGCACACAGACGATCAACGACAGGCACGATCACCTCGCCTGGTCGGAGGATCCTCCTTTTCAGATCTTAAGGAACTCAGCTCACTGTTCTCTACAATAGAAACCTACCTATGTGACACGATGATTGCACGGTTGGCGCAGTGGCTGGGTGACCGGCTGCTGTTCGTGTCGCGGGTCCTATTCCCGCGTCGGGCAAAAAGTAAAAGCAGCATTTTCTGAGTAAAATGACAATTATTTACCCGGAATCAGGAAGTTCGGTGGTGTGTCTACCCTGAACGCGCCTGACCTGTCTCCGGTCTTGTCAGTCTGCCATCCCATCCCCGCTGGGTTCAGAGAGTGAGGGAACAGTGAGTGCTGCTGTGTTTACGCACACACTTGTGCAGTATAGTATCTCCTGCGTAGTGGGCTAGTCTTGTTAGACTTCGCACCATGATCGAGATTGATCGGGAGACTTTATTATTTATTTGTAGAAACCCTAGTTTAACCCTAGTTTACAGTATAAGAAATACTGTAAACTAGGTAACTAGTACGTATTATAAAACTGAACAATCGGTAGTTTTAAATTTGCTAATCGTAGTAGTAAGTAGTAGTAGTTACCGTTGATTATGGAAAAAAATTTGGCAGTCCAATTAATGAGAAAGGTTATAGGCTATCTAACATCACGCTGTTAAATTAGAGCCACTGGGTAAACACGTGTAACGCCACGCGGGGCCACGCCATGGAGCTATATCGCACTTTCAGAGAGACAAGGCCGCAAAGGGGCATAAAAGTAAATAACTATGTGAAAATATTAAAATATGCTAATGCTGATCATTGTAACGGGAGCCGTGAGGTTCTATAAGCCGCGTATTCTGCAGGCGGCTTGAGGAGTTGAGTATAAAGTTATAAACCGACACGAAATGTGGTATCTAGCTCTTAAACCGACTTGCTGAAGTACTAATTTTGTTTTTTTTTTATATAGTGTTAGACGACGAAAATCAACTAAATGAACGTCACTAGTTTATTCTATGTTATCGACAGCACTAGCTGTTATATTGACGATGTCATCTGTCAAATGGGACAGATTAGAAAAGTTTCTCGCGCAAAGTGGAGTGACGCGCGATTCTGGTGGGAAGTTTGAAGAGCATTGCGCTGTGTTCTTAAAAGAATCCGTTTATAATAAACTTTTCAGTATTTAAGTATTGAGTTTTACTTAAAAATAGATAGAGGGAAATCATCGAATGGCTTCTCCCGCTGAAGTGGTAATGAACCGGCCAAACGGGGGCTACCATATTTTTCGCTCACTAGATGGAGCTAGAGTGAGTCTCGTCCAATAGAAAATTAGCTAAAGGCACACCGTTGGTCTTTCTATTATGATACTTACAATTGGACAAACTATCTTCTTGCTAAATTGGCGCGAAATTTTATTTAAATTTATATATAGTTTATACACAGCTATTAAAAAAGAAATATAATTATTCCACTACCAGTCATGTGAATGTCATATAACAGGATGACTGGCAGAGAATGCTGTTAGCATTAAGTCCTCCTTAATGCAATTAGATAAATAATAAATACCTAATCACAATTGGGTGCTTGCCAACTAGTCAAATTCAATACTTTTTTCGAACTGTGAAAAACGACAGTTTTCTATGAATTTTGTATGAGATTGTGTTTTAGGACGTCACATTTTTAGAGTCAGACTGGAAGAATGCTAAAATGAAGTTGGTCATAAAATCAATTAATGAAAGTGTTATTTTTTTTTAAACAGTTGAAATAATTTATTTTTGATGAAGGCAAGTACCCAATTATTATTTTTTAATTTTAAATATTTACATTAATTTGTATACACACATACAGAATACTGACACCATAACAAATTTAAAAAAATAAATAAAGCAGATGTAAAAGTAACAAATGGAACAAGTCTGTAGATATACATCCTGGGTTAAGCATAAATAAATAGGAAATTTAACACCAATTTAAAAATATATTGTATAGATACTAATGTTAAAAGTATGACTTAGCATGACTTAAATAGCGATTAGTTACTTCGAATATTTAAAAATATTTGCAATTTATATTTTAGACAAAAACATATGTAAACAAACAAAATTCAGTCTTATTTTACTAATGAAAAGGTGATAAAAACTCAATAATTGATGACATGCGGTGGCATAAATTGTTGTTGTGGGTCTGGGTGTCATGTGTATGTAAACACACCCACACACCCGGCCCCCGAGCTTGAGGCATTTTTTTTAATAGTTATTGTCACTTTCCAGACTTGTATATTATTGGAGTGGGCACAGGTGTGGTAATGCCATATTCAATAAAAAAATGTATACTCTACTTGACACAAGTACTTCTTTTATTTAACCCAGGAAATAAACTTTGGAATTGAAACTCAGCAGTACCCATTGTCAGCAAATACCTAATTACTTATATATATGTAAAAATTAGATCTAATTAAGACTTACCTTAACAATCACCACTATGTACTGGTTGCATTTCACATATTTCTCCTGAGTTCATAATAACGTCGAAAAGAGGGGTATGTTGAGACATAGCAATGTATGTAGAACCTGAAAAATAACAAAGTCAGCCAAGAGAAGCACTTAAGATTATACTTAGTTTTCCAAATTTATCTAAGAATAGAGATATATTTTGGGGCTAAATTTTTTAATAAATAACATAACTTCATAACATAACTTAACATAAAGCCTTTTATCCCTAAAGGGACAAACAGAGGTGCACAGTACTGCACTTAATGCCACTGTACAATGTAACACTCACTTTTCACTATTTATGTTATAAGTCCCATTTTATAAGGGGTGAGATTCTTGCCATTTACCGGGCACAATTCCAGAGTCCATGCTACTGCTGAGAATTTTTCAATAACCCAGTGATACTTTGCCCGACCCGGGAGTCGAACCTGAGACCCCTTGCCCAGCAGTCACACTTGCAACCACTAGGCCATCAAGGCTATCAAACGAGGCAGTCAAAATAAAGTATCTTAAATTGTTTTTAACTTTTCTAATATTCGATACAACAGTATTTATACATTCAGTACTGTATGTACACAAATGGTAAATATGTGACTGATCAATCCCCAAGCGGTCACCAGTGACTGCTTTCAACTACCTGCATAGTAAACCTTATATATCCGAAGCTGAGAGCCTACTTTTGTATGAACAAATTTTGAGCAATTATATTAAGTGACTAAGTAGGTTTTGTACGCTTGCGAAAATTAAAAATAATAGATTTATACTTACACTTAATAGATTGATGAATACTTATAAGAACTTCTTATAACACTTCCAACTTTATATTGTTTACAAACACCTCTCACCAGCACTCTGAAAAGTCATTACACTCTTCTTATTGTAAAATGCAAAACACAATAAATAAAATTACTCAATTTACCAAAGCAAATCCATTTCTTTTACAAAACTATAGTATTATGTAAACACATATATATCTTGCGAAATTTGATCACTAACACTTACTTAAAATTATGAAAATAAAATTGATAATATAAAATCCTTCAAGTACGCAGTTAAAGAGTTTTATTTAATATCTCTATAGATTTTAATTACAATGAATATTTCTGGAAAAGTATAGCCAGACAACTGTCAAGAACCAAGGTTGCAGTTTCTGATTTTACGGTTTTAGCGACTTATTTATGTTATTAAACTGACAAAAAATTATTTCATATTTGTCTACTATCTTTCACTTCAAAAGATATGCACAGTTATAATCAAGCACTAAGCTAGAATCGATTAATTAGGTTATATTGCTGTTATTTATCCACTTGCACTTTCGAGTGAAAAATGCATTCCAATAAAACTTATACGTATATGTAAGCAATGCAATTTGTAACACTGCTTACACTCATAGAAAATTATATAGCTATTTCACTCTTATGCAATGAAAGAATCAAAACCAAAACTTAGTATTGGAACAAAACTTTGTGTTGCCATAATAAATGAGTGATGTCAAAATGACATTATTTATTAGTTTTTTTTATTTTCCACAGTTTCTACGGATTGTAAAATAAAAACTGAAAATGTTTATGTGACTGAAAAAGGCATTGGTACTTACTAGAAAATAGTGAATACTTAGTTAATTTTAGAAAGTGGCAACATACTATAACATTCCTCACCACACAGCTTCCTTATGATGGTGATAGTAATATTTTTAATTTAATGAAACGATTTTTGTTCCAAATAAATGAAATTCCATTTATTTACAATTTTTAATTCCACATATGTATTTCGAAAGTAATAATTACATTTTCTATGTTTATTTACTCAAAAACACTATTCTCTATTTTCGTAACACGCTCCGTTCCGAATCACTACTGACGTGTAACTTTTCCTGGCAACTTTTTCGCAAAAAGCCGACGACGTTTCTCATTTCGGGCCAACTCATCGGTCTTTTTGACATAGAATATGTTTGTTTTCAGTTCTTTATGTTATGAATTGTGACTGAATTATTGAGGATTAGATATAATTATTTAATTAAAAACATGGAGGTGCATTATCTCGTGTTTGTTTTGAGTGTTTTATGGCACGGCACCGACGCGATCATGTGGAGCCTCGCGCCCAACACACAGAAGTGTTTGAAGGAGGAACTCCACGCTAACGTGCTCGTGGCAGGAGAATACGAAGTCACAGAAGTTACCGGACAGAGAGTTGACTATATCGTAAGTTATAAAGATGTTTTTTTGGCAATAGTCCATCCACCATACGGCGCTGATATAACTGTAAACCCGCCGATTTGTCATGTTGTAACACTATAAAGATCTTTAAAATATCAATTGCCGGTTGTCTAATCAAATCTTATCTATAAATAACTCGTATTTGTGGCACATTAAAAGTCCACCTCGAGAGACATCATAATAATTTTGATAGCCTCCCTATTTACTGGACTAGAATTGAAAATCTTATAAGAATCTAATGAATAAAAGTTCTTTATATAAATTTATAAAGAAAATACTAATTATTGTGTTGCTGATAATTTCAACATTATATGAAATTTAAAAATCAAACAACTTACTGTTTAATGGATATGTAATTAACATTCAACTTTGCAATAGAATTCACCATTCATTGTAATTTAGTGGAACTGTACACTTTGATAAGGCTCTCATTGCTAAAACAACAATGTTTTTAATTTTCTCATTGACTTTATTGTGCCTTTGTATAGTCTAAGGAGAAATTATGATTACTCTACACTTTAATTAGATAATTCTATTTGAAATTGGAAAAAACAGTTGTTTAAAAGTGCAACAATTTCCGTGAACCGAATCCACAAGTGTCATAGTTATGATGTGATCTATCATTATGTTTTCCTTGCTTGATTAAAATTTAAAAAGTAAAGGACATTCACAACATCAATAATATGTAAATATTAAATAAACCTTAATAAATTAATTATTAGGTTTTTACCCAACTGTAGGAAGGGTATTGTTATCGCATATATATTGTTTGTAATTTCCTATAATTTGTATTAATTTTTTTCAGATTCGTGACTCCAAAGACCACATATTGTCACAAAGAGATTCCATATCCAAAGGGAAATTCACATTTGTGACAGAAACTTATGACACATTTGAAGTCTGTTTCATATCTAAAGTTCCTCCAGGTAAGATGGAAAGAGAAATTTAATTCATTTTACTCTTTATAGACTTTGTAACTTCCTCGGAAACATACCAATAATAGATATAATAATGAACTATATCACTGGAGGACTGTTAAACTTGATGTTATTAAAACCGAGCAAAACAAAACAACCTAAAAAAACATTATCTTAACTATCGGGAGACATACTTAATTAACTGTAAATCATGAGTTACCCACGTGAATATACTGAGAAAATCTCTATTAGTTATTCGAGCCACAGATAAATATGCTGCGCGACATCGCCATATTGCCGCCGCTGCTCATGAGGCCTTCTGTGGCTCGAAACGTAGAGATTTTCCCAGTATATTAATGTGAGTAACTGGTGATTTTTAGTTGACCTAAAAATACGTTAAATAAGTCTTAGATTTAATTAGTTTTTCAGAAATAATTCATGCTAATATGCATGCTAATGATAATAATAATGTCGCGGAGAACGTAACGGGTAACCTGGGCTCCGACTCGACGTGCAGGAGAAGGTACGGGGTGGTTTTTAGTCAGTAAGAGTCTGACACTCCCTCCCGCCTCACCCAGGCGGGAACAGTCATTTGATGATTTTCCCCCCTTAAAAAAAAATGATAATAATAATTATGATTTCATAATTTCAGTATATTTGAACTCTTTCAATTTATGGTTCATCTGTTGACCATGGTGTAATTAACATTAAAAAAGTAAATATCTTTTTGTTTGTATAACAACACAGCTGCATATTTATGATGTCAGTACTCAATAAAACAAAGGACAACAACCATACTTATATTATAATGAGTTAATAGATAACAGTAATATACATTTTTTCTGTAATAATGTCAATGCAACATATCGAAAAACCTGAAGATTCCTATGAATTTGTAATCGTTGTTGAAAAAAATTACTTTTATAGCATAAATGACATTGTTTCAATTTAAATATTTTATATCTCTAGTGATTGTAATTTTGAAACATCATTTTCATTTCCAGTTTTTCAGTTCAGGCTTTCCTGGTCTAATTGAAATAATATTGATTTTGAATTTAATTTAATATTCTATCATCTAAATCGGATTCTAAACATGTAAATTCGGAGCCGCGGAGAACTTAACGGGTTGCCGGGACTCCGGCTTGAAGGGCAGGAAGTTGGAACGGGGTGGTTTTTAGTAGTAAGAGTTAGAATCTGACACTCCCTCCCGCCTCACCCATGCGGGAGCAGGCATTCGATGATTTTCAAAAGTTTGTAATTGCCAACCCGCAGTGAGCAAGCATGGTGATTATCGCTCAAACCTCCATGTGAGAAGCCTCTGCTTTGCTCAGCAGTGGGCATTTATAGGCTGTTGATGATGATGATGTGAAAAGATAGATGAAGCACCTATATTTAATTATTAATCTTTTTTCTTTTACTTACAGAACGCCGTGGCGTCTCACAGGATGTAATGCTGGATATCAAAATCGGAATTGAAGCTAAAAATTATGAAGGCGTAAGTTTCTTTTTGAATTTACTCCTATTTCATTAAATCATCTTTATATTTTATCTTTACTTCATTTCTTTATTTTAGAAACATTATTTTCTAGTTGCCTTTTATAACTGGTAACTTTCTGATTTTTTACATGGCAACATCTATTTTGTACAATAGATTTGCAACACTATATTTATGTATAATATGTATGCTAATATATATTTTCTTGATTATCGGTGACCACAACCTCCACTTCTTCAGAACTCTTGGGTAATATTGTGTGGGCTTTCTGTGTGACTAACAAAATAAATCATGAGTTGTTTGTTCGAAGCATTTTGTAACATGGTCACAATATTTTTGAACCTTTAAAACAATAGTTAATCTGAGATAACTCTATCTAAAACTAACCTCCCACTAAATTAAAATTACTTATATTATTATTAATGTACTATGCACACTATTCCCCACTTATTATGGTACATTTGTACGTGTCCACTAACTACAAAACTAAATATATATAATGAATGGTTAGAAACCTTACCATAACAGAATGATTGACGATAATAAAAAGCATATCTCTAATATGTACCATTATCGCATGCATTTATTAAAGTTTATTACAAGTCCTAAATAGTAAGTTCTTTTGTAGATTGGTGAAGCAGCAAAACTGAAGCCAATGGAACTGGAACTGAAGAGATTAGAAGACCTGTCAGAAGCTATAGTCCAAGACTTCACATTGATGAGAAAGAGAGAGGAAGAGATGAGAGACACCAATGGTAAATATTCGCTTTTATATGTTTTTCTGTACATCTGATGCTTGCTTATTGTACTATAATTTGGATAATGCTTCGCAGTTTCACAGATAGCGCGGGTAAAACAATGAGATCATGATTGCTACTTAAATACTATACAAATACATGCTTTACTTCAATTTCTAATGTAATATTCTTTATAAATAATGTTTTATGAAATAAACTAACAAACGTTATTGTAATTTTGATCATAGTTTCCTATGTTTTCTTGTTTCAGAGTCCACAAACAACCGTGTACTATTCTTCAGTTTATTCTCAATGGCATGTCTCCTGGGTCTCGCCACGTGGCAGGTTCTCTACTTACGCCGGTATTTTAAGGCCAAAAAGCTTATTGAATAGCACAATACATATTTAGCTGCGGCTAAAGTTGCGTGCGGGCTCATAGACTAAAACTTTGCTAAGAGGTTGCATGCGTCAAGTGTGTTTTACATGATCTCTTTTTTTAGTCTTTGTATTTCAAACTATTCCCTTTTTCAAACCTTTGTTAAAGATGTAAATAATGTTATTTTTTTGTTGTTACAAAACTACTAATTTTGTTCTAACATGGTAAAATCCAATTCATATGATGGCAACACTGAATTCGATCAAATCCTAGTGATAATGAAACGTCCCAGTGACCACTGATCAGTGCATCACAGCACCCCGCAGGCCACTTTAACCGCTGAATAGATCTTATTATTACTTTATATTTAAAAGAATAAAAAGTTTGGAATACTTAATTCAGATTTATTATTTAATAATTTTGTTGTAAATGATTGCGTTCTTGTCTGTTTACGAATGTGGTAAATAATATATTTGAAATATTATATTGTTTTATTAATCTTTTAGACCGAAATCAATTATATATTTAGTCTTAACACTGTCTACTGCACACTAAAATTAAAGTCAAACTCAACAGTTTAATAATAAACAGATAAATAAAAGTCATAAA